CCAACAAGACTGGCAAAGATGAGAAAAGATATGTCACCACAGTGTTGGAAATGGAAGAAAGTGTTAGGGAGTTATTATGATATTTATTTATTTATGAGATTTATATACCGTTTTAAGTGCAAGCACTCTCTAAGCGGTGTACACCAATAAGCAATGTATATATATATATATATTTACATTGCCCCCAACAATCTGGATCCTCATTTTACCTACCCCGGAAGGATGGAAGGCTGAGTCAACCTTGAGCCGGTGAGATTTGAACCGCTGACCTGATGAACACAGTCAGCTAAAGTGGCCTGCAGTACTGCACTCTAACTGCTGCACCAAATCGGCTCTTGTGGTGGACTATGTGGTGGACTTGTTCCAAAGCCAAAGAATTTTGGCGGCTAATAAAGACTTGGTTGGAGAAAATGTTGGGACTGAAGATAGATCCCAGACCAGAACTGTTTTTATTGGGAATGATAGATGGGAAGTTTAACAAAGAGGAGACATATCTAGTGTTGCATATTATAACAGCAGCAAGGTTGGTCTATGCGCAGAACTGGAAAAACGGAAATTCCCCAGTGGAGAGTGAACTAATTAAAAAAAATTGATATGTGCAGAGATGGATAAACTAACATTAGAAAATAAAGACAAGGATGAAACAGAGTATTATGAAGTTTGGGGTAAGATGTACTATTGGTTAGACTTGAGGAGAAAAAGTCAGAACAAAGAAAGCTCGTCTAGAAGAGAGAAAGTGTAGATTTTCAATCTGAAAGTGAGCATAAGATAGAGATCAGAAAGAATATGAAATAAGAATGGAAATGGAAGTTATGTTGTAAATAGATGTAAATATGTATGTAAATATATAAATAGTATAAAATGCAATATGCAAATGGTATAAAAGATCAATGAATAGGGAGATATATGGTATATGGTATAGTATGTATGGCAAAATAACAGCCAGAAAAGTCATACTGTGTTCAACCTGTTTTTAAATGTTTACTCAATAAAATTAAAAAAAAAAAAGAATTTCCCCAGCCAGACGACTATGCATCATGAAGAGTCAGAGAGAACAGAAGACCCAGATGTAGATATTGAGATCGACCAGGTACAGAAGATCCCAGAAAGAAGGCAGTGGCTGCTTGACAAGGCAGTTTCCTTCCCTAGCTGTCAGGGCTGTGGAGGACGACACCAGCGCTTAGATTGCGGTTTCACGCAGCTGTTTGCCGAGCATGTGGCAAGCAAGGCCACATCGCTATCATCTGTAAAGATCGCCAGAGGGAATTGCCACGTGAAGACTTCCCCAGGAGAGGTAATGGGGTCCCCGGGCAGAATAGAGTAGGGTTTTGCTCCGGAAGAAGGAGCATCCTCAGAACTGGAACTCATCGCCCCCTAAAAGAAAACCTTAGACTAAAAGTCAAGCTGCAAGGAGTTCCATGCTCCATGGAACTGGACACTGGATCAGCTGTGTCTATAATTTCCTATAAGACTTTTAATTTCATCTGCAGACATGGTGGGAAACGAGTCAGACTCAAGCCATCAGATTTAGTTTTGACAGATTTTCAAAACTCCCATATAGCGGTTAAAGGAGAAGCTATGATAAAAGTGACATTCAAAGAGTTTGAGTGTCCCCTCAGTGTCGTGGTGGTGGAAGGCCAGCGAACAAGCATAATCGGCTTAGACTGGTTTGATGCCCTGGGCATCCATGTGACTGGCATCAACAGAACCCAAATGGCAGATTTGGCAGCTGTCTGCCAGGAATTTGTGGACGTATTCAGTCCCAAGTTAGGGAAGTACAAAGGAGCACCAATTACTCTCCACCTTGACCCAACTGTAGCCCCAATCAGAGTAAAGCCTCGTAGAGTGCCTTTTGCCCTTAAGCCCAAGATTGGGGCAGAGTTAGATAAGCTTGTTCAACAGGGAGTCTTGCAACCCGTTGACAGCTGTGTGTGGGAAACCCCCATAGTGACACTGATCAAGCCTAATGGAAAGGTGCGCATTTGTGCTGATTATCAGTGCACTATTAATAAGGCACTGCAGCAGCATGCGTATCTGGTACCTGTAGTTAGCCACATTCTGGCATCTCTACAAGGAGGTCGCTTGTTTGCAAAGCTGGACCTGGCACAGGCTTATCAGCAACTGCCTGTGGATGATGCCTCTGGTAAGGCTCAAACAATAGTTACCTATAGAGGGGCATTCAAGTTTTGTCGCCTGCAGTTTGGGGTCAGTGTAGCCCCAGGGCTCTTTCAGAGTGTGATGGAACACATGTTAAAAACATTCCAGATGTGTTTCCTTATTTTGACGACGTTTTAATTGCTGGGGAGTCAGCAGAGATACTTGCAGAACGTTTAAAGGCTGTTCTTCAGCATTTCCGCGAAGCGGGGCTGAAGCTCAAAAGAGAAAAATGTCAAATAGGAGTCAACTCCACAGAATTCCTGTTGTTCCAGATCGACGCTGCCGGAATACACCCAGCTGATTCAAAGCTCCAAGCTATTTTGCAGGTTCCCAGACCAAAGTCAAAGGAGAGCTGCAGGCATGTCTGGGGTTACTTAACTTTTATCATGCCTTCCTTCCCCACAAGGCTGCTTTTGCAGAGCCTCTACACAGGCTCATAGATAAAAGGGCACCATGGCAATGAACTAGCGCCCATGAAAACACTGCTGTCGTCAGACTCTGTGTTAACACACCTTAACAAAAAGCTGCCTATCAATATTGCATGTGATGCATCATCATACGGGATAGGAGCAGTTTTGAGCCATATAATGGCAAATGGGCAACAAGCTCCCATTGCTTATTATTCAAGGACACTTTCCCCCGTGGAAAGAAATTACACTCAAATTGATAAGGAGGCTTCAGCCATAGTTGCAGGAATAAATTCCATGATTTCCTTTATGGTTGCCCATTTACCGTCTTTACAGACCACAAGTCTCTTCTAGGTCTGTTTACTGCAGACAAGTGAACTCCTCAGATCCTGTCTCCAAGGTTGCTGAGGTGGTCAATCTTTATGGCATCCTACAATTACAGGCTAGTCCATAAGCCTGGTAAGGAAATGGGTCACACTGATGCACTCAGCAGACTGCCCCTGCCTAATTTAGAACCAGACCCCGCACCTGCTGCACGCATCCTGTCAATTCAGGATTTGCCTGAATCGCCCCTTCATGCTGAGGATGTGGCTGCTGAGACAGGCTCTGACAAAACTCTCAGCCAAGTTTTGAACTGGGTGCTGAGGGGGTGGTCAGGAACCAGTCCTGGAACCGAGTTTCAGAGTTTTATTAGAAGACAAGATGAGCTGTCTGCACACAAAGGATGTATTGTATGGGGGCAGTAGGGTTGTAGTCCCACACATGCTAAGGGAAAGAGTCTTAGAATCTCTGCATGGAATAATCAGGATGAAGGCACTTGCGAGAAACTACCTGTGGCGGCCAGGATTGGATAAGGATATTGAGGCTCAAGTTAAAGGATGCCAGGTTTGCCAACAGTCCAGACTTGAAATGCCTCAAGCCCTAGTACATCACTGGGAAACCACGCCAACTCCCTGGTTTAGAATTCACATAGACTACGCAGGACCCTTCCAAGGACAGATGTTCCTCATTGAAGTTGACAGTCATTCAAAGTGACTTGAGGTAGCACCTGTCCCTTCTATGACTACTGCCAGGACCATCTGGGAACTGCGCAGAATCTTCGGTACACATGGCTTACCCGATGTAATTGTATCAGATAATGGGACACAGTTTACTACTGCAGAATTTCAGTCATTTCTAAGGTCTAATATGATTAGACATGCCACCTCTACCCCGTTTCACCCGGCCTCTAACGGTCAAGCGGAAAGGATGGTCAGGACGACCAAAGAAGCTCTTAAAAGACTAACAAGGGGAGATTGGCATCACAGGTTGGCAGACTTTTTGCTCTGTCAACACACAACTCCGTGTACCTCAACGGGTCACAGCCCAGTGGACTGAGATGGGAATGTCGGCTGACCACGAAGCTGGACTGTCTCCACCCAGACAGAGTTGCAACAGAGACAGCACAGCCCAAACCCCTGAGGAATTTGTGAGTCGGCGACCGAGTTTCGGTGAGGAACTATGGTCAAGGGGCACTGTGGGTGGTAGCTATGGTTTGTAAGGTGTCAGGACCACTCTCTTACAAAGAAGTCCTGGCAGATGGGTGCATTTTGCGCAGCCACATTGATCAACTGCGTCGGCAGCAGGCTAGTCAAACCCTTGCTGTTGACCAAGAGGAGAGCCAAGGACTGCCTGACAGCTGTGGTGCGTCTGAGCCACTGGAATCCAGTGCAACTCAAGGAGACATGCTGCACGACTCAGTCATAATTGAGTCGTTACTAACGGAAGGAACTGTGCCCACAGATCAGAGCTTGCTGAAGGAATTATTTCCCAGCATTTCTGAAACAGCTCCGCTCAGAGTCATGGGTACTGGTCTATCCAGACAGACCAACCAAAGAGGGACTGGTCTACCCAGCCAGAAGAAATGAACAGAGACTGGTCTACCCAACCCGAGTAGCTCAATAGACTCTGGTCTACCCAGCCAGCCAAGGGCAGACCAGGAACCTCTGGCTGAGATGCGGCAATCGGAACGATCACGGAAACCGCCAACTTACCTAAAGGACTATGTACATTATATGGATATGTAATTGACCTAGGGGGAAGGGGTGTTATCTATTTAGTTAAATCATAAGGTCTGTTATAAAAAACGGTTAACTGATAGTTCCATTTGAATTATAGACTGTCTGTCTGTATAACTTTAAGCCTTTTATTTTAGGCGGGAATGAGTACTTTAAACTGATTGGCCGCCACCTAGTGGTGGTCCTTATAAATATAAGTCAAGCAGCTGCTAGAGCTTGCTTCTGTGAGAACCTAATAAAGAGCTGTTAATTCAACTCCATGTCTTAATGCCTTGCTGTTCCCACTACACAACAGTTCTTGTACCAACTTTTCCTAGTACAATATAGCAACAGTATATTAAGTCATTTGCTTAACAAATGTGCACTTTCATGCACTTACCGAATATCCAATTTCACAGGTGGGACCAGTATGGGCAGTGGGGTTATCACAGAGGCATCTACCACATTCACATCTCCCTCGTCCATTACAAATCAGCTACAAGAGAGCAAAGTAATTGTTCAGCTTTTTCTTCACTGCATACATGGAGGCAACAGATGCAGTGGTGGGATTCAGCCAGTTTGTACCACTTTGGCAGAACCGGTAACTAATTTTTTTGTTGCCCAGGCCCAAAAGGAACTTCTGGAAGTGGCATCCACACAGAGAACTGGTTGTTCATCTATTTGAATCCCACCACTAAACAGATGGCTTTACCTGATCTTAGAGGCAGATCTCTTTCCATTACCAGGAAACATTTAAAAGAAAGGGAAAGACCGTTCTTCTGCCTTTTTGTATCCAAGGACCACAGATTATACAAACAGCAATAAGATCAACTGTCAAGCTGGCCATACCTCACTAGAGATCTAATCCAATGGTTCCTTTTAAGCTGAATTGACAATACTGGATTCCATCTCCAATTGATTAACTTTGTAATAACTATATATTGGCAGATTTTCACACGGATTGCCATATTAAACACTTTCTGCATCCAACACAGGATTGGGGCGCGGGGGCAACCAATATTTTATTTTCTTCTTATGACCTCTTCTGATAGTTTGTCTGGATGGACAATTTACTCACCCCATTGCTGCTGACACAAATGTCATTGCTTGTGGGACATTCACAGCCAGGGCCTTCCCAACCAGCTTCACATGCACACTGGCCCATGTAGCATTGTCCTCGGTCTGTAGAGAGACAGGTAGCATCAGCACAAAGACATTTAGAGCCAATTTGCCTACATAGCTGGTCTGTTTTTATATTTCTATTTTTAATGAAGTCTTAACTCACCTATTAGCAGTATGGAGGTAGTTCACAAAGAAATATGATACATATTTTTACAGCTAAGTTAAGCAAAGATGTCAAGAATGCATGAATAAAACATCTTTTTTTCCCTTTGTGTTTGCTTTTGTGTGTGTGCCTAATGCATTCTAAAAAGCCCTCAAAGAAAACATATGGACATTCAAAACACTTCTGCATACAACTAGAGATTCCGTTCGAACAAGAACACAACTGGGCCACCTGTCTATTTGCTATAATTATATCTCACTTTTCTTCTAATAAGTTAAAGCAATATGATAGAATCATTCCTTACACAAATGTGGAAGATGTATCTAAGTGATCACTGAGAGTTGACGATGTTTTGATGGCACATAATCAATTAATCATTCCTAACTTGTGAGATAGGATGAATTGAATGAAAATAACTAGCCGGGGGGGGGGAGGAGGGAGGAATTCTAAAGTGACTGAACTCTGCCCAACTTGCATTATTGCAATCCCTATTAGAATTCTGGTGTTTCCTCTTATTAATATTTTCTTTTAGTTGCATGCTCCATAAATAATATAAGACAGGGTCTGACCTGAAAAAAAAAAGATTACTGCCACTAGAAATCTCCAGTTATTCTAAACTTTATCACTGTAGCACCTTGTCTGGGCAAACTATTCTGAACCTTTATCAACAATGGGACATGCCCTCAAAATCACTCTTCTTCAACTTCTTCCAGGGGTGAGGGACTCCAATACCACCAGAGACCCCCAAATTGGCCAAAGCTACTCCAGTATTCCTGATCCATTTAAGAATTGTCTGGTAGTAGTTCACAAGGCTCTATCTGAATGAACTGAGGGCAGAGCGTGCAACATTTTGCCCTCCCCAAAGTTTCACCATTGCAGAGGAATCCAGAAGTGCGGGGACACTGCAAGTTGTCAAATTCACAATACTGTCCATCATAACGCTGGGTGAGATCTTCAGAATAACAATGACAGATCCCACAAAGGCATTCGCCTCTGCCAGAACAGGGTTCTTTATCTCCAGGTCGTGTGCAGGCTGAAGTATCAGTAATGGAGGATGTTGAGCAATTACACAGGTTCCCCTGCCTGTCAAAGAGAGAGGAGGTCAAGTGTGAGAATAGCCACAAGATGCAGAGATATAACATCTTGTACAGCTAATTAGAAGCCCAAGTGATTTAGGGTATTTGACTATTGATAGGGTCTGGTTTCATTTTTGACGAATAGCATAAAGTGCTTTATAAATTGCTATATTTGTTACTGTCCTTAGGAGACATCATTTGATTACTTTTACTCTTACATGGGACTTAGCCAAGCATAGGTAGCTTCTATACAGTTTTTTTCTCCCCCTTACGTTCAATGGTGTCCAGTTCTTAGAGCAGTGTTTCTCAACCTTGACAATTTTAAGGCATGTGGACTTCAACTCCCAGAATTCCACAGCCAGCAATGCTGGCTGTGGAATTCTGGGAGTTGAAGTCCACATGCCTTAAAATTGTCAAGGTTGAGCTGGCTGTGGAATTCTGGGAGTTGAAGTCCACATGCCTTAAAATTGTCAAGGTTGAGAAACACTGCTCTAAGAACTGGACACCATTGAACATAAGGGAAATACTGTCTTAGAGACTATCCAGACAAGTCTCTGCAGTTTTTTGGCAAAGTTTTTCAGAATTGGTTTGCCGTTGCCTCCTTAGGGCAGAGAGAAAGTAACTAGCCCAAGGTTACCTAGCTGGCTTCATACCTAAGACAAGACTAGAACTCACAGTCTCCTGGTTTATAGTCTGATCCCCTAGCCCAGTGGTTCTCAACCTGTGGGTTGGGACCCCATTTGGGGTCGAATGACCATTTCACAGGGGTCGCCAAACAAGGCTGTCCACCATTTTTCCCCCTTTTCTTTGGCCACGCCCCTGGTATCTGGTGATGTATAAGTGGTTGGGGGTCACCACAACATGGGGAACTGTATTATGGGGTCGCGGCATTAGAAAGGTTGAGAACCACTGCCCTAGCCACTATAACAAACTTGGCTAACTATATGGAGAAAGTACTATATGATAATCTTCTATATGTGTTCAAACCTTTACTGGGATGTGAATTCATATACCTGATATACAATATAGACTGGGATATAGACTGGAACTTAGATTGGCCCCCTATCCTTTGGGCCTTTAGGAAAGGGAAGGCACTGCCATCGTCCTTTAGCGTCAAGTGGTAGCAGTGAGCCTTTCCAAAGATTATATTAAACGGGATGTATTACTTGTATTAACCAGCAATCGGATTATATTTTGTGTTTGAATAGTGTAATAATGGTTTTAGGATGATTGAATATTTTTGTTTATATTTTTTATTGTTCTGTGATTTTTAATAGTTGTGAACCACCAATTACATAAATCTATATAAGTGTATATAAAATATAAATATTAAAATATATAATTTTAAAATATATGAATAAAAATATATATGTGGACACTATCTAAAATGTGGGGAAAAAACTTTCTGAGGGGCAAGAAGAGGATTGACCCTCTTATCAGTTTCTCCATTTCATCTACACTTCTTGTTCTTGCAGAAGAAAGGCATAAACTTTCTGGTAGAGGAAAGACAATGGGACCCACACTGAAAGAAAAACCTAATTGTGATACTACTTACCAGCCTGAATTGCACACACATTGTCCACAGACAAAATTTCCATTGTTAAAGCACTTTGGTGATCTAACTTCCTGATTCTGCAAACAAGCAAGAAGACATTACTGGACCTCATTCCAGACACATAACATCCTTTAATCTTACAATTTCTATTAGTAAAAATTGCTCAGACCAAGGTTAAATTTCTTATGTCACATATTGTCCAGGTCTAGAACAATTCTCAGAACTGCTAATCAGAGAAGAGGAAAAGAACCTACCTTTTCACAGGAGCAGGTGTCACAGAGAATTGAGGCATCAATCTCCATTTTGTCACCGAAAGAAGAGGGCTTAATGTGGATAATACCTTTCCGTTCCTTCTCTGGGAGATCACAGATATGCTTGTCATCAAAATGTTTAGTTTTCAAATGCACATTGAAGGTTTTCTGGAGAGAAGAGAGAAGCCTGTACCTTTTTTGGATTCATTTAGAAAAAAAAGCAATTTTATCCACAAATGTGGGAACTGAAAGACTAGAGATAGATCTATTGGGGTTCTTGAGGTCCACCGGAGGTTTTGTTTTATAACTGCATGGTTCTTTATTTCTGGCATGGCTAACTGGGGACCAATGGGAACTAAAATCCAAAATAACTAGTGGGTTCTTTCCTCCTGAATTAGGTCAAAAGCTGAATGGATAGAAACATGGAAATAAGATTTTCTTCTCTTGAGTTTGAAAAGAGGATGCAAGAAGTGCAGGCTTCCAAAGCTATTCTTACTAATTGTTTTGCCTCCCAATCCCTCAAGCAAAGCTAGGATGGAGTCACAACAATCATATAAAATGCAAAGATGATCTGGGATTTGGGACACTACTCTTCTTGATCGAAACAGCCAATTACCAACACTATTAAACCTACTGGCATGGCACTAAAGCTGGGTTTATTTACTGCCACAGTCACTATGGAATAAATTTGATTTATATTCTATCAGAAATTAATACAAATCCAGAATCTTCAATAGATATCTTCAGGGATCAACAGGTTATATCAGTGGCTCAACCTGAGATGATGATATGAGAGACATAGACTGTTCCTATTTGTTTACAGCAGTGATTCTCAACCTTTCTAATGCCGTGACCCCATAATACAGTTCCCCATGTTGTGGTGACCCCCAAGTGGGTGTGGCCACCAATAAGAGGGAGTAGGACAGCTAGGGAAAAGGGAAAAAATGGCGGACAGCATGGTTTGGTGACCCCCGTGAAATGGTCATTCGACCCCAAATGGGGTCCCGACCCACAGGTTGAGAACCACTGGTTTACAGCCAGAGGGCGCTCTTTTGAGCAGGGATATCCTCAGCAGCAGGAATGGGCACAGATACCATGATGCTACTCCAGTAGAGATATGCTTTGGTTTATTTTGTTTTTTTTAATGTTCAGATTTCTGATGTGGAATTTGCTCATTCAGTTATCCCAGATTTACTGGAAAGTGTAACACATGTTTAGTATACGTGGGATTTGGGAGGAAATTGCACTTTGAATCTGTCAATGAATTTTGGCAGTGCAATCTTGAAATGGTGCAAAAAAAAAAAAAAAGTGGTTCAGGAACCGCAGTAGCTCCCAGTTTTTTTCCTGTTGCTTTAAGTTATACAAATTTCTGAATTCAGAGAAGGCCCCCCTAGCCAAAGGAGCTAAATGCCTTTCCAAAATCAAGAGGTTTTTTTGTTTTTAACTGTAAATCATTAAGAGATAGAAATGCAAAATAGAAAGCTTACCAATACACCTTGAACATTATTTAATGAACCAGACACTCTAATTTTATTTTGTAAGGTTATTTCAGTTTTCATGGCTTTTGGGATATCATAAACTCGAACAGTCATCTTGGTAAGAATCCGCTGGGGAAAAAAATAGAAAGAAAACATACAGAACTGGAATGGATTTGGGCGACTGATTTCATAATTTGACTTACTGCAGTTGATCAACAATATCCAGCCATGGCAGAGGGATATATCACGAAATGCCTTGCCAAGCATGATTCTGACCATTTGGTATGAACATTGAGAGAGGGCCTCCTCTTGGTCCCTCCATTATAGGAGGTTAATGGGACTAAACCAGGACACAGATCTTTTCAGTGGTGGCCCCCACTTTATGGAACACGCTTCCCTGAAGGTATAATTGGTCCTTCCCCTCTGTAAGTTTAGGAAAGCCCTCATTACAAGTTTATCTCAGTAGAATGTTTTGGTGCACATTTATATTATTTCTGTTTCTGTTCTTTAATTATTATTTGTAATTCTGATTTTAGGGAAGGAGATAGCCGTGTTATATTCATTTGCTCATATAAACTATCCAGAGTTATATAGATTGAGGTGCTTTATAAATATTGTTATTAATTATCATTTAAAAACTGAATGGGAGTTTATCTGTCTTTTAATCCCCACCAATCCCTCTGAATGCAACTAAGAGCCTACATTTATTGTACAACTCCACAGGCCACCCTTTTTGAGATACGTAGTTTTTACACCCCTGATTTATATCATCTAATTGCCACCTGCCTGGAAATACTTTATGAATTGGTTGAAATAAAAGCTGCTTCAAGAACAAATTGCAAGAATGAAATGTGAGTGAGTAAATCATGTATGGGGAATTATAAGAGAATTGTGTTATCCCGAAAAGTTACAGCATAAAATATCAGATATTGCTTCTTACCTTAAAAGCCGAACGGATCAATTCCACAATGTTAGAAGAATCTTCTTGAAGCCTCCCAATTTCAGAATTTGCAAAATATGTGTGCAGTTTCTAATAAAAAATACTATTTATTTATTATAATATAATAATTTAATATTGTAAGCACAAAATGGATTTAAAATATTAAGAAAACCAAGCACATAGAAGAGTTATTGTTCTATTGTTATTATGACTAACTGCAGAGAAAAACAAATCACCAGTTACAATGCTGCAAAAATTTCCTCTGATTTCTTTCCCTGGATTCTAATGTAATACTTTCCTTTAGCCTTTACTGAAGTATACAAATACAATGGCTTGTCCTTTTAAAATAAATGACACAAAAAAACCCATTGGGTAGACTCTATTCACCTTCGTTTCAACATCCTTTTATAAGAGTTTGATTTCTGAATAAAATTCCCCCAATTCACCTTGGAGGAGCACATAGAGGAAGAAAAGACTGGTTTAGACACATGCAGTGGTGGAATTCAGCCGGTTCGCACCAGTTCTGCAGAACCGGTGGGTAATTTTTTGTTGCCCAGGCCCAGAATGGACTTCCGGAAGTGGCATCCACACAGAGAACTGGTTGTTCACATATTTGAATCCCACCACTGTACACATACAATAGGAAGGCTGGGGTATTTAGCCTTTTCCCTAGGCTTTTTCATTATCTAAGAAACTACTAGTTGCTTTACAAAAACAAAAGACAATTTTCCAAATCACACCTTTGTTTTCTTTCCTATAAATAAAATGTAGTACCATATGATTGAGACTGAGAAAGTGGACCAGAAGAAAGAGGTAAAGTTATTCTCCCTGATATTTCAGCAGAAAAAAAACCCTAAGAACATTGTCCATGGTCTAAAGAAAGTAAATGGAAAGATATTGTTCAAAGAGGCAAGCTAGACTTGAATCTATTGGCATAAATATCTTTTTCTCAATCCAAAAAGCAATAAAACAAAAGATTTAATCACTATAGGATGGAGGTGATAGAAGCAGACCAATGTTTGATGTCATAATACAATTTTGGCTTATCTATGGGTCAAGAGTTATGAGGTAAAAGACGAGATATTTTTGAGTTACCTCTAACATGGATTATTTAGCTAGCCACTGGGTGTCTCCACTGCACTGCAAAAAGCAGATTGAATAGTAGCTTTGGGAAATCAGATACAAGGATATTTCATTTCCCAATCCAGTGTATACATATATATTCTTCAGATATATACAGGCGGTCCTTGAATTACAACCATTCTTAATGACTGTTCGAAGTTACAATGGCACTGAAAAAAGTGGCTTATGACCAGTTTTTCACAATTATGACCTTGCAGCATCCCCATAGTCATGTGATCAAAATTTGGACGCCTGGCAACTGGCATGTATTTATGATAGTTCTTAATTACAAATCTTCCCACAGGAAGCGAACTCAGCTTCTTGCCTTAGGAATAAATAGGTGAGCTAGTTCCCTTGGGGGTTGTTCCCATCTTTTTTCCTGCTTAACGGCATCTTTTACCTCATAATAATCATAGGAGTGGTTGGTGACCGCAAAAATAGGGATGATGTCACTCAGCCTCAGCAGGCGCTCAAGGGTAGACACAGAGGGGTAATCCTGCTTGGTATCAAAGGTGTAAGTCCCTGCTTGATTCAGGTGGCATTTTTCATCGTTCTTTCTCAGGATTCCAGCAAGGACGTTGGCGCCATCAGCTTCATAATGGAAAGCCGACTCAGTGGAGAAGACCAGGAGATGAGCACTGTCATTCCGCCATCCAATATTCTCCTACAGGAATAAGGAAAGTCTAAGATGTAGAGTGGAGCTGGGTAAATCACAGCCCTAAGCCTCATTTTGGCAGCTTCTGCCCTCCTGAATCGTGTTTCTAAATTTGATGGAAAACTACTGAATCCCAGCAGGACAATGTTTTGCACATTTTCAGGAGAAAATAAGGATAGCACACATAACTGTTAACTAAAAAAAACCCTACCCCAAATCATCAAAAATTAAAAAAGCAAAAGTGTCCAATTTTACTTTCCCAAGTGATATAATGTATAATCCCCATAAAAAAGATAAAAATTAGTGTACTTTCTCCATGTGCCAAGAGGAATAGTGGGAATAGCTGCCGGAAGCCCAGAAAGGCCTTTCGTGATGACTTTTGAGAAATATGCTATTCCAGGAATATTAGTAACCACCTGCTATGTCTTTCAAATGAAGCTTACATCAGGGTTAATTGAGAAAAATAACAGTGTCACATATTTGGAATTTCATGCTTATCTTCTCTCCTCAGCAATGAACTCTTCAGCTCCCTAAATTTACAAATGTTATTAGGCACTAGATAGTTTGTTTTTCCCCTGACCTTCATAAAAGTTTAGTTGGTATTGGACTATAATATCCTAACTGCAGGTAGAAGCTGATAATAGCAGAATTTGATAACAGCAACAATCTCTGGGGGAGATGAGTAGTTCAAAAATGTGAAAAATAAGTAAATAAAATAAACAGTCTCCACAATATCTAATTCCAAAGCTCGCCCATTTTCTTATCAAAGTGCAAACAAAGCTGTCTGTGGATTTTTAAAGCAAAAATTTGGCCTAGATTTTCCTACTGCTCTCCCAGTTTGGTATGCAATTAAGATAGTTTTTACCCTTTATAGAGAACCACTATATCTATGCCATCTTCAGTATTCTCTCTGTTTACCTTGCAAACAGTTGTTTGCAATATAGCATCAAAGCCACCTTCAGGAGCATCCAAGTTCCCTGATATACGTTCCTCCATCAGTTCCTGGCTGAATTTATTAATATCATTGGTTAGACGGATGACATTCTTAAAAGAGAAAGGCGGGTCAGCATTAGGCCAAGGTTCCCGCAATCTGAAAGCAAAAGAACAGACAATTTTAATTGGTAACTACCACCAAACTGATTATCAGACATCCTAAATAAGGATCCTTTGCACAAACAGCTTCTTGTTTACCACAATATTTAATGCAATGAATTTGAGCAGAATAGTTTCTATTTAAACCGTAAAAAAGAGATTGCATTTAAATCTCACACTAAAACAAATTCAGCTTTGTCATTTGCAGCACAATATGCAAGCTAGCCATTGTTATTGGTAAACTGGGCTTTAAGGTTTAACACAATATAGGAAACTGCTCAAAGAACCAATGAGCTATAAGAATAAGCTGTGATAAGCAAACATTTTATTAGTAGTAGAAAACAAAGAGGCTTAACATTGCTACTGCTTATGTATGTATCCTACTTCTGAGTAATGAGACATTGGAGCACCAATTCAGTTTCTCAGAATGGTGCCATTTGTTCCTGTTATTTTTGCTTGCTAACACATGATAATACATTTTTATATTATAAGGTTATAAAATAACACAAATACACCCATGCACACAGAGGCTAAAATGAAGAGTTCTTAACCTTAACATCCCTGTTCCTTTTCCAATTGCTAGAAAATTCCATACAATAACACAGGATTTCTTTAAAAGAGCAAACTTGGTTCTCTGTGTATTTTCTTCAGTTTCACCTCAAAGTGATGAAAAAAACAACTACCCCAAACAAGTGTCCCTTCCTACAAATGGATGAGTCATCAAGCAGTTATCAGACTTGCTTGGGCCATTAAAACACTGTTATATGCCCCTTTGTGGGATGATGATGATGATGATACTACTACTACTACTACTACTACTAATAATAATAATAATGTTGAAAGGGACCTTGGAGGTCATCTAGTCCAACCCCCTGCTCAGGCAGGAAACCCTATACCATTTCAGACAAATGGCTGTCCAGTCTCTTCTTAAAAACTTCCAGTATTGGAGCATTCACCGCTTCTGGAGGCAGGTTAATTGTTCTAACTGTCAGGAAGTTTCTCCTTAGTTCTAGGTTGCTTCTCTCCTTGATGAGTTTCCATCCGTTGCTTCTCGTCCTGCCTTCAGGCTCCTTGGAAAATAGCTTGACTCCCTCTTCTTTATGGCAGCCCCTGAGATATTGGAATACTGCTATCATGTCCCCCCTCGTCCTTCTCTTAATTAAACTAGACATACCCAATTCCAGCAGCTGTTCCTTATATGCTTTAGCCTCCAGTCCCCTAATCATCTTTGTTGCTTTTCTCTGTACTCTTTCTAGAGTCTCAACATCTTTTTTTACATCGTAGTGACCAAAACTGGATGCAGTATTCCAAGTGTGGCCTTACCAAGGCATTGTAGAGTGGTATTAATACTTCACGTGATCTTGAATCTATTCCTCTGTTAATGCAGCCCAGCACTGTGTTGGCCTTTTTGGCAGCTGCAGCACACTGCTGGCTCATATTTAAGTGATTGTCCACTAGGACTTCGAGGTCCCTCTCACAGTTACTACTATTGAGCAAGGTACCCCCTATACTATACCTGTACATTTGGTTTTTCTTGCCTAAATGTAGAACCTTACTTTTTCACCATTGAATTTCATTTTGTTAGATAGCGCCCAGTGTTCAAGTCTGTCCAGATCCTCCTGTATCCTAAGCCTGTCTTCTGGAGTGTTGGCTATTCCTGCCAGCTTGGTGTCATCTGCAAATTTGATGATTTCCCCATCTATCCCCTTGTCCAAATCGTTGATGAAGATGTTGAAGAGGACTGGGCCCAGAACAGAGCCTTGGGGTACCCCACTACACACTTCCTTCCATATAGATGCGGTTCCACTGAGGACCACATGCTGAGTACAGCCGGTCAGCCAGCTACGGATCCATCTAATGGCGATGCTGTCTAACCCACATTTTTCTATCTTATCAAGTAGTAGGTTGTGATCTACTTTGTCAAATGCCTTACTGAAGTCCAAGTAAATTATATCCACAGCATTCCTCTGATCCACTAATTTTGTCACTTAGTCAAAGAATGCAGTAAGATTTGTCTGGCATGATCTGTTTTTGACAAACCCATGTTGGCTTTTAGTAATGACTTTATATGCTTCTAGGTGTTTGCTGATTCATTGTTTGATTATCTTTTCCAGAATCTTTCCAGGTATTGAGGTCAGGCTGATAGGTCTGTAATTTCCTGGGTCCATTTTTTTTCCTTTTTTGAAGATGGGAACTACATCAGCTCTTTTCCAGTCCTCCGGTAGTTCCCCAGTGCTCCAGGATCTTTGAAAAATATAGTTCAATGGTTCTGAGATCACATCTGCCAGTTCCTTGAGAACCCTGGGGTGTAATCCATCTGGTCCTGGCAATTTGAACTCGTCTAGGCTGGACAGGTGCTCACTTACTGTTTTCTTGCCTATCTTAACTTGTGTTTCTATTCTGTTTTTTATGGCACTATTTTTGGTAGGTTGGTCTGTTTTTTCCCTTTGTGTAAAGACAGATGCAAAAAATGAGTTAAATAGTTCTGCTTTCTCTCTGTTGCTTGTCATCTTCTTGTCACTTTCCCCCACTAATGAACCAATAATTTCCTTCACTTTCTCCTTATTTTTTATATGTTGAAAGAAGCTTTTTTTGTTATTTTTGACTTTGGTCGCAAGCCTTAGTTCATTTTGAGCCTTAGCTTTCCTCACTTCATCTTTGCAGGCTCGGGCTATTTGCTAATATTCTGCCTTAGTTATGTTCCCCTCTTTCCCCTTTTTATACTTGTCCTTGTTGTCTTTCAATTTATCAGAGAATTCTTTATACAGCCATGCTAATTTCTTTTGAGAGCTGTTATTTTTCTTCTTCATTGGTATTGTGTTAGACTGGACTTTTATAATCTCACTTGTCAAAATTTCCCAAGCTTCTTGCGTTGTATTCCCCTTGAGGATTCTCATCCATGAAATCCTTCACAAGCTCTAAGTTTATTGAAATTAGCTCTCTTCAAGTCCAAGACTCTAGTTTGACTGTGTTCTATTGCTTGTGCTTCCATAATGTTGAATTCCAATATTGCATGATCACTTCCTCCCAAGGTTCCTGTGGCTTCAACACCTTCTATCATTTCATCTCTGTTAGTGAGAATTAGATCCAAAATGGCTAATCTAGCTTTAATGAAGCTATATTCACTGAGACTTTTATAGGCTTCTTAAAAAGGATATTAAAGAGAAGTTTTGTTGAGGGATTAATCAAAGTGATCCTAAATCCATAGAACGAAATGGACTCAACTGACGAATTGATGGCAGAATTAAAAACGAAGGGATTCTGAGTGAGAGCAGATCTATCAACAGTGTGTTAATTGATATCTACAAGATTTGGGTATACGAAGAATATTGCAAGAAAGTAAGAAAGCACTGTCTGAGGAAGAAACATGGGACTAGATGATCACAGATTAGATAAAAGCCTTAATTTTTTCAAAAAAAAAAAAATTCAATGGATCCTGATTAGTTCATTTCCAATGGATCCATCGCTACTACTCACTTTGTGGGCCTCATGTCTGTCTGTGGTGCTGTAACTTTGTCCACAAATTTTCCAAAACCAATAGTATAGTCATCCGTCAGCTCCCTCAAGAAATTTGCTGGCGGGATAGAAGAAAGAAAGGAAGAAAGGAGGAAAATATTTGGGAACTTTAGATTAAATTTTATAATCCCATGATGGAGTTCAGTTACCATAAATATTATGTAGAGTTAGACGAAGTGAAATCATTCACTCCAGGAACCAATTAAAATTTACAGCAAACCTGGGAGATGTTTATGACCATGTAGAGAAAACACCAATGTATTACAAAGGAACCTTAAGGCAATTTGAATATATATTCTTGTTTTTTTAAATTATTTATTAGTATTATGGTAATAAGAGCCAGTCTGGTATAGTAGTTAAGGCACCAGGCTAGAAACAGGGAAATTATTGTGTTTTCAGTTCGTTGGCAATTGACGAAGACACATGGTGAAAACAACAAGCTCTTTATTACTCTTCTCCTACAACCAAGCAAGCAGCAAAAGGCATGCAGGCCTTTTATAGGGCATGAAACCCAGACAGTGTGAACCACTAGGAATTGACCATTTCACGCCTTGCGCAAGTGCACAAGGCTGGCGTCACCCTTTCTGGTCCCGGGCAGCTTTTGGTTTGCCCGCGATCATTTGCAACAATTCTGAGCCTGCTTTCAGCTCTTGCAGGCTCAGGACACAACAGAAACCATCCGTTCTAATTGATAACTCTCTTCAGTCCTAGGAAGCAAGCCATAGCAAACTAATTAAAAAAAATATTGCCAAGAAAACTGAAGGGACTAGCCTAGGCAGTCAATGACTTGAAGACACCAAAATAATAATAAGAGTAAGAAAGTCTCGCTCATTGATACTGCTATACCACCAGGTAATGTTAGGATTGAGACAAGGCAATATTGCAAAATACTAGAACTTGTAGATAGAAGTTAATGCATATGGAGAAAGAAATTTGTTGCTACAGTAATGTAATTGTGATTTGAGCTCTTGGAACAACACCTAAAGGTTCCTCTCAATATTTGGAAATTTTGAATTTATCAGACTTGAACATTTTAATTTTACAAAAATAAAATACACTGCTTGGAACAGCCCACATCCTCAGATGCTACCTTAATCATTCTTAGATCCTTGGTTAGAAGATGAATTATTAAGTTTTCACCATTCTTTGTGAATTTAATTATAGGTTACCCAGGTAAGTTTGAATCTCTCTCTCTCTCTATAGCTTTATATCCTAATTATCATAGGATATGCTAAATGCACTCATTTTAAATCATAGAAAACAACTGTGAAGAGGCTTTATGTTTTAAAGTTCCCTATTCCTTTAAAACATTGGGCTTAATACATTTATCCTTAACCCATCAAAAGTTAAATCTATGTATAAACTATTTATTCACTTTAATCTCTCTATTTCTTCCTCGTATGGTTTTCTTCCCCCTCTCAGCCCCCACTCTGCTTTATCTTAATTTAAGTCCTCTACATCAGGAGTAAATGCCATTTTTGTGCTTTTTGTACTTTGCTGATACAACATAAACAAAAGCAAAAACATGGTTTTTGCTTTTTGAGCTTCAGACATACCCTTCTGAGATTCAAACCTGGGCTGTGTGCATTTTAGGCAGCTGTATTAACCTCTAGGGCACAGGCTCTTTCTCACATTGTCAACTGTATCAGGGAGGGAAGAGACAGGGGGAGGAGATTTACCTTGAGTGTGTGTGTGTGTGTGGTGTGTGTGCGCGCGCGCATAGGAACAGAAATATCCCTTTGAGATGAGCTTGACTGTTAATAACCATGGAAGCCCATGTAGTTATTTGGCAACAATATAGAAGCACTCTTATAGCGTTCTTTTTGGATGTTTTATTAGTTTCCATGGTAGCTACATTATTTCCTGGTGATTACCCATCCAAATACTAATTAGCTTTAACCTTGCATACTGTTTCAAATTAGCTTGGTTGCTGTCACAGGCAAAGAATCAGGACTATTTGTAAGATTGCAGCATAGAAGATTTATCCAAGCCTATACACAAGAATGTGGTCAACTAAAGTTCAAAGCTAAATTGATGCCAGATAATGGTCAATGGAATACAGGAAGGAGTGCACTTGGATCTCTTGTAGGAACGCAAAGACTTTAAACTGATGATGCATTTAACTCCCCCTTCCAGCACTGGCCCATCTTCTATTGTTGCCTAGCAGCCATTAACCTAGGCATAGAATGTGAGGACCACCATGATGAGAAACAACTGAGGAGAATCAAGTGAAGCTGTTAAAATGGGAATAGATCTCTTAGTCCAGTGGTTCTCAACCTGTGGGTCGGGACCCCATTTGGGGTCGAACGACCATTTCACGGGGTCGCCAAACAACGCAGTCCGCCATTTTTCCCCCCTTTTCCTTAGCTGTGCTACTCCCTTTTATTCTATTGGCTTTGGAAAGCCAATAGAATAGACTCCCTTGAATAGAGTCTAATTCTATTGGCTTTCAAAAGTCAATAGGAATTGTCCAGGCTGTCTCTGCCCTGCTGAGCCCGCCAAAAGTCCCATTCTGCAAATGGTGCTGCACCAGTTGAGTAGTCCTCGACTTACGACCGGTTGGGGGTCGCGGCATTAAAAAGGTTGAGAACCCCTGTCTTAGTCCCACATTCCATGCTGAAGCTGGAATAGACCAAGTTTGCAAGAAAAAAAGCCAGCTTTTAACTGCCACATATATAATCCACTTGCTAGTCTTAGATTTTGTTTCCCTCCTTTGCCAACTTCCTTGAAAAATCGCAGAGAATTAACCGACAAACGTCTCAGTCTGCTTTCAAAATGAGATGGTTTAATTTCTCACCAAGGTTCTGACCCATTTCTTTCAGGTTGTCCAAGTCATCAGACATGGAATGTGAAAAATCCATAAGAATGTAGAGGTCCACAGGAAATTCATCGGGCTCAAACACCTTCATGACAATGTTTACTTCATCACCCGGTCGCAGTTTGAGTGATATGTGCTGGGGAGATACTTGTGCTTTCTTCAAAGTTGTATCAATTTGGAAATCCTGCCAGGGAAGATATCAGTAATACATAATGGGGGATCCTGAAAAGATTTAGAGAAGACTATCACAGCAGATTGGTTAAATGTACTGATTCCAAAGATAATATTACAGTATCCCCTATGAGTATACAGGTAGTCCTCAACTTAGTGACCGTTTGTTTAGTGACCGTTTAGTTTAGTGACCGTTTGTTTAGTGACCGTTCAATGTTACAATGCCACTGAAAAAAATGACTTATGACTGGTTTTCACACTTATGTCCGTTGCAGTATTCCCATGGTCACATGATCAAAATTTGGGTGTTTGTCAACTGGCATGTACTTATGACAGTTTCACTGTCCTGAGTGCCATGTGATCACAATTTGTAACCTTCCCAGCAGGCTTCCAACAAGTAAAGTCAATGGGAGAAATCAGATTTGCTTAGTAATTACATGTTTCACTTAATAACTGTAGTGATTTGCTTAACAACAATGGAGCAAAACCTATTTAAATATTGCCTTGCTTAGCAACAGAAATTTTGGGCTCAACTGTGGTTGTAAGTGAAGGACCACCTGTAAATGGTTGCAATAAATGAATAAAACATTCTAACTAATTAGAAATTACTTCATTGAGAATAGCTACTTAAGTTAATTTTTTTCTGACAAATTTTGCATTGGGCTATTCTGGAGGATTATTCAGGTATATATTAATTTTCTTATGTTCATCTCCAGCATTCTTTCACTGTACCTCTACTCACCCTTGTCTTTAATAACTCTCCAGACTTCAGTTTTATGTTGTTTTGGCAGCCATAGCTCCTTAGATTATCTTCCAAATCACAGCGGGTATTTTTGAAGTTCTGGGATGAAAATAATTAGATAGTAAAGTATGCTAAGAAAATAGGCTCAAAATCAAATTGTCTTTAGGGACTCACCTTCTGCCTTAATATTAGGTTAAGGTTAGAATTAGTGGCTCGCTGAAAAATTCTACCTCACTCCTACTGAATTTGGCCTTGTGAAGATGTTATGTTGTAGGTATTATCACAAAGTGGCTGTTATTGTGGCCACTACAGTAGGTAACCAGGCAATCTCTCCAACACCCGATTGAGTTCTCAGCCTCCAAATACAATTTATTTGAACTGTTGTTGTTGTTGTTTGCTCCAATAGGACACAAATTTCAAAGAAGGCATGCCCGTAGAAAATAAAATTATTTTTGTTATTAACCATGTAGACCTCTTGGAGGAAACTTCAGTGAGGCTGGGAATACTTTACAGTCTATAGCCCTCCCTCTCAGTGTTTCTGAGGCGTACTAGTGAGGCAATCAAATCACTATAAAAGCATCTGTGGGTTTATTTTTGTTAATTTGTTCTTTTGTTTTTAATGGGTTTCATTGGTTCTTAAAATGGAGAAACAATGCAAGAAGTCCATATTGTCAGACTGAAGGTGGAGGGAATAACTAATAAAATAAATAGATCAATATCAAATGTTGAATGGACAGGGATCAGAGCCAAATTTCAGTGTCCTAATTCACGTCGTCCTATACTCAATACCTGTGAAAAGCTTTTACCTCATCTGTGCAAAAAGTACAGTTGCTGCTCACTCGGATGCATTCAGTGCAGCTTTTTGCCCTAGAAGCCATACAGCGGTTAACTAGAGAACAAACAAACAAACAAATAGATTAGAACGAAATGGTCTAGAAACAGGCAAAGTTCTAAAATGTGGTCATACCATCATTCCCTTTCAAACTTGCAGTGTCAATGTTTTTTTTTTTTTAACCAAAATTTGATATTGTTCCCAGGAGCTCTCATTTTTTTCAGAAAGGGAGTATAATCACATAAAATTGTGTATTAGTGCAAATGATAATGATGACAATTATGATTATGATCATAGTTGAATTTCCAGGTGTAAAATTCATAGAATTTCATGGTGCCTACACTGATCTTTCATACAATTGGATATGAGGCTTTAGCCATTTTTGCATTTTTACATTTAATCTTAAATGCTAATCCTTTAATTCTTATTTAATTTTGAGAGTATATAATTCCCATTTAGGAGTGCCACTGATTTTATCATGCCTGCAGAGGCATGCTTCCAAACTGCAAATGGCCTGGATTGGGAAGGGTCACAATGCATTCATTATTACATTAATTTACTTCTAGCTTCTGCACATTAAGAGAGCATTGCTTCATTGCAAATGCTCTAACAGACTTTAAAGGAATATATTGAAAAGGAAGTTGTTTATTTTGTTCTATATCAGTGATGGCAAACCTTTTAGAGACCAGTGCCCAAACTGCAACCCAAAACCCAGTTATGCATCGTCGGGTGCCGGATGGGTGTGGCCCATTGGGTGGGCATGGCTAGGTGGTAATGGCAAACTGGGTGGGACTAAAAAGTTCAATCAATCAATTCCAACTTTGCAAGATTTTTTTTTCCTGCGAGAAGTTGAAATTGACTGATTGAGTGGACCTTTTTTTTTTACACGGCGGCGGAGGCCTAAAGCAAAAAGGTTTTATAAAACCCAGCTGATGGCCTAGGACTGGGGCGACAGCATGTGTGCCCACAGAGAGGGCTCTGAGTGCCGCCTCTGGCACCCGTGCCATAGGTTTGCCACCAATGTTCTATATATCTCTTCTCAAGACTTAATTGCAAGAACAATTTAATGGCAACAGAAATAGCATTCAGGAATTATTATGATCTGTAAAGTTCAGTTGGTTCAGTATTTCAGTTACTGATCTCAAGAAAAATACAGTATATCAGAACTGTATGCAATAGTAAAAAAGGCTTATTAAACTATTCTGGAAGGATCAAGTTACGATGGATGTTAGTTGGGCTTGCAATATCCACATGATTAGATTCTCACCGTTTTGGCAGTGTGCTAGATACAACCAAAAAATGGCAAAGCAATTCACTGGTTCTTAAGGGGTTTGACTTATTCCTGGTCTAAAATAATGTCACAAAAAAAGACTCTTGTGTTACACAAGTGTCTCAGCAGCAACAATCCCAAACTTAATCCTTGACTCCCAAACAAGCAATTACAAATTGCTCCATTATCCCCAGGAAAGGGCCAAATTATCTCCTTGGAGGTAGTTAGCCTTAGCCTAGGAACCAATGGTATATATAAACCGTCTTATTTGAAAACAAAGGGATATTTTAGGAATGTTTGGGAAGTAAAAGAAAGTGAAATCAAGAATGTACTTTTTAAACTTACTTTTCTTTCCTTGGCCTAAGATAAAAAGCAGGGAGAACAGAAGCAGCTGGAACCACATCCTTCCCAAGAGCTTGTCCATTCTTCCTGAAATACCGTAGACTGTGGAGTCAGCAATAGCTCAGCTCAGCCTCATCTAATAGTTCTTGAATTCCTTTAACCCAGCCTTCTGTAATCTGGAAGACGTAATTCCAACATAGTTGGGAGCCATCAGATTAGGGAAGGGTTATAGAGGACAACCACAGGTTTCTTACCACTGCTGTTTGGAAGGGTTTGGCATAGAAAATTCCCTGCTGCAGACAAGAGAGACCTCAGAATAACCTGAGATAATCAGCAATATTATGTAACTGAATTAACATCTAGTTCCTGGGCGACCATGAACTAGCAACCAGAAATTCCTGCATGGTTAATATATATACTAAAAATTAAGTTTGTCTCTATCAAATATGAAGTATCGTGCTTGAAAAATTTAGGGATTTGTGTTTGTTTATAAGAGGAGGTGGAAAGTTTTAAAGTCCCAAATCTGAATCTTTGGAAATTCTACTTAATTTCTGAGATTTTGCCAGGCTTTGCTTTTGCACTTTCCAACTACTCTTCACAGGCACAAAATATAAGAAACTTGCTTGGAGGAGAGAAAGAGATGAGTGGGAAGGGATATAGATTCCATGTTCAGTATAAACCAGCCTGTATGGAGCAATGCAGCATCGGTTCATATGATCTTTTGATATTCAAAGAAAGTAACTGAATCAGAGCATCTTCCTAACACTGAAGGATCAATGGCCAGATATTTTGTACAGAAAGGCGCAGACCTCATATTCATGCATGATGGAGCATCCTCACTGGTCACATTAGTGAACTTGCAAATAGTTTGCTCATGTAGTGTTCACGGCTCACATAGTAAACTTTCAAGTACTTTATACATCCTTTCTCTGGTAGTTTTGTGTATTGATGAGGAAATCCATTTCAAGAATGCATTTTCAAAAATGACTATGCATCATTGGCTTGTGCTAAAAGAACATAGAACATATGTTCACAAAGGAGGAGATTTATGGTTGGTTCCACCTCCCAGCTCTGGCCTCTTGTCTTAATTAGTGTAGTGGCATTATAAGCTGCCAGCACTCCAGCATTAGAAGTTGAAAAGGAATGGAGGTATTTATCCATGGCAAGCACAGCGTCAGAAAAAAAGAAGAAGCCCACCAATGAGGCAAGATATGGACGTAAGAATGTAAGATGAGGTTCTTGGTCACAAGCCAGTAGACAAGCACTAATTGCCTGATAATTCTCAATGCTCATCTTCTCTGTGGCTTGCAAATATGTAAACATATCCATGATCAGAGAGCCCTGATGTTCAGTAGATCTGAAAAGAGTCAAAATAGCATACATTGGATTTTTCATTTAAGTAACCATTTCCCAGCCTTGGGAAATTCCCAGTGTGTGTGGACTTTTTTTTTATCAATGGCATGCTGGCCAGGAAATTTGAGGCACTGAAGTGGCTTCTTGAAATCTCTGTTGTTCTTTGCATAAATTCCAGATAATAATGATGCGATTACTCTAATATTAAACTCACCATAACAATAAAATAATTCCTCACTATGCACTGACAGATTTTTATTACAAAACAACTACAGTACCAATCAATGCCTCAGATAATACCACGAGTTAATTGGACATGTTTAAGAGAGAGAGAATAAATTGGGTGCTTTGTTGTGGAACTCTCAAATTATGGTTCTTACACTCAGAACGGGACACTGATGGAAATATTTCGCTTTTATCCCAGAATGTTTTAAGAATGCTTCCTATGTTCATGCTCGTTTCCCCCACTGCAATCACACCAGCAGACAAAATTGCTAGGTCTATAAGTAGGACTTTGACATAGCCCAAAGTCTCTGCTTCAGAGAAGATCTACAAGCAAGGCTAAAGGCTCTTCTTTTTTGCTGCATGTTAGCACTTCTGAATGGACATGTGCCTGTTTGAACTGTTCCAAGGCCATGCAAAGCTTTTGCTACATTGCATCAGTAATGACTATAGCTAGGGAAGGGATAGATTGTTCAGTATTCTTCATAAAACACCCCTCAAATATAAAACCAGCACGTCAGAAAAACAGGCTCAACTGAGTTTGTATACCTAACATGCTGCAAAGACATAATGTATGAGATAATGTCAAAACATAACAATCCACTTGTTCCAGAAGGCACTAGCCTTATTGTATTCCACTGGCCCCAAGTACTTGCTTAAAGTTCTGTTTCAGTTTAGTAAGGTAGGCTTGTAAATTTATTGCAGAAGAAAATTTGCAAGAGGTATTGGATTTTCAAACCAGAATTAGAATATGTTGTATGTCATACTGTCCCAGAGCATTACAAATCTTAATTTAACTTCTATATTTATAGAAGTTCTTTAATATAGTTTAGGAACTCCAATGAACTTGCTCAAATTAAAAACAAATCTGAAGAAATAATCTTTGGAGAGAAAACTATTCAGAATACCAAGGATATACCAAATTCCCTAGCATTAAACCTTGAAACTTCTGTTATGTACACATACCACTGATATGTGGGTGATCTGCAGCAATCAGCCTCCCATGCCAGTAGTTCAAAATGTGCATCCCTCTGCACACATGACTCATGATTCACTGCCAAAACAAGCACCTCTTTTTCCTGAGTTTGGGACTTTCTAGGCTAATAAAAATCAGAGAAAGAGAAAAACAAGTTACAGCTTCCAAACAACACCCTCCTATCAGCTATTTCCTATTGTGCTAACAATTTCCAGCAGCTGTTAAAGAATGCTAGGTGGGGCTGTGGAAAATGCCCAGCCTCCATAGGAAACTCTCGTCTGGGGAGAGCGAGGTGGGTGTCTGTAAACTTGCAAGCTCACATCCTCACAGGGTCTTTCTTTCTTTCTTTCTTTCTTTCTTTCTTTCTTTCTTTCTTTCTTTCTTTCTTTCTTTCTTTCTTTCTTTCTTTCTTTCGTAGAGGTAGAAGACTTGTTTATGGAACTGTTACATGGAATGCTAAACTGTTTTAAATTGGGACACCTTTAAATTGTTCTCACTTTACAAATACTGTGGCTTGGACAGAGAATTTCACTGCAAGCATGCACTCTTCAAGGAAGCCCCAGCAGGTTTTTGGCTTTGGATCTAAAATGCAGCACATTCTAGTGATAATATTCCAAAGCTGTGAGCCACACCCATAATTTATAAACCAGAGTACAGTAGCTGGATTCATACAACAATAGACCACAAAGATAGACTCACTAGATGTCTGCTGCAAACCTGACACTCAGCAGATACCAGCGGACAGCGATACTGTATAAATCTCAACCTTGCACCATCTAATGGTCATCCATAATTTTGCACCCAAATAGGCAAGCTAAATTGTAGTTTAAGGTATTGTGCAAAAACAGCTGATACTTTAAACATTTATTTTTCAGTTCATATCTTGCCTATCCTCCATCTGCTCAAAGTGGCAAACATAGTACTGATAAAGGAGAATATTTGTAGCTCAGGGTTGACATGAGGGGTCCTTGGTGCTCTCTGAGCTTGATTGCTTTCTGGCAAAAAGACTCAAGCACTTCTCCACCAGCAATCAGCACCCAGGTCAGCACAGATTAACTTCAAGGTTAACATCAGACCAACAATCAAGAAAACAGTATCCCAATCAACAAACTGCCAAAGAAGCCAACAGCAACCAGCCCAATCAAAGAATCTCTAAGACCATCCCCACCAACACTGGCAAGCCACCAGAATATAAACTGACAGCAAACAGCACTCCTTATTAGCACTGATGATGTTATCTAGTTTGAATAATGAAATGTCTGCAAGAAAACAAGCAAGCTCAGAGAGTACCAAGGACCCCTCATGCATAGTACTACTCCAACTGGTTCCACCAACAACTCTCTGGCTTTTTCACTGAAAGTGGTCTAAATTGGTCTCCAATTCTAAGTGCAGGATTTTAGCCATTGTACCACATTGGTTGTCTTTCCATGCAAATATTTGGAAAGTATTTCATTAAGGGAGAAAAAAAATCTCTAATAGAAAAAAAAAATGGGAATGTAAACCTGCCTGACTCACCCATACCTGGGCTTAGTCATGCTACGGATTGCATAGAGCAAACACATTGTTCACAAACACACACACACACACACACACACATCTTCCCTGTCTCCTGCATTGAACCACAATATTAACCACTATGCCTGTAGAATAAACTACAGTAGCTAATACTCAGGTATATTATTAAGTTATAAATGATGATTTTCATAGCAAAGCGGCTGGGACCACACATTAAGGCTTGGCAAAAGTCAGATCTGTTCTTCTTTAGTGTGATGCCTGAATAAATCACGAATCTATTCAAACTGGGATTTGAATCCACATAACGCCCTGGAGTCAAACACACCATTCCAACAATTAATATTTTCCAGAACTCATTTTAGCATATTAAACATTTAGGAAGCGTGCTGTAAAATTGTGCTATAAAATGGATGCGTTCTATGCAATTTTTTAAATAAAGTCCATAAAGCTGTTATGATTGTAGGAAATGACTTGGTGGTGCTACATGGGTTGGTTCTGTATGGTTGGTGAATGCAGGAGATGCTTTTAGTCATCCTACTAGCCCTGCAGATAAATAAATAGTTGCCACACAGGCAATTAGCCTCAGGATCAATGAGCAGCTTCTGTACAGCTGGAAGCTGAGCCAGCAAAGGGTTTATAGTGTTGAACCAGCCTTCTTTAGCCCTAAAAACTCACCAGGTGACTTTGGGTGCTGCCTCGCTCAACCTCCCTCAGTCATAAGATAGCTGCTGTGGAGATAATAAGAAGGGAAATCCCCAATAAGTCACCTTGAGAGGGCAGGATAAATCTAACTACATCAGTGGGTCTAGGGGGCCACCAGATGCCTGTCAGGTACAAGGTCCAGCAGCCACTTTATGATCATCAGTATTATTGATAGTATTATTGTACTATTAAAACAAGCAGCTACATTTCTGTCTGCATTGTCCCAAAGGTGCTTTTTCAGCAGGTAACTGGACTTTCTTGTTCAAGAAAGTCCAATTGCCTCCTGAAAAAGCACCTTTGGGACAACTGTGATCTGGATGGCTGAGAATCTCCATAGACATTCATTGTTTCTGGTAATGATATTTTTGTCTGAGCTGTGCTGCATTCATAGAGACTCAAATTATCTCT